ACTAGTATGTTGACTTAAAGGGAAGGTCAACATGGGGCATTCAAAAGGAGAGCTGTGGCCTGGCAGGCATGGCTCAGTGGTTGAATGTTGACCTATGGACCAGGAGGGCATGGTTCAATTCCTGGTCAGGGCACATGCCCAGGGGGCGGGCTCCATCCCCAGTCAGGAGCGTGCAGGAGGCAGCCAATCAATGCTTCTCTCATCCTTGATGTTTCTCTCTCTCTCTCCCTGTCCCTTCCTTTCTGAAATCAATAAAAATATTTTTTTTTATAAAAAAAGGAAAGCCGTGCATATCTCAGCAGTCCACATAGCTTCAGAACAAGCAATTAGAACAGTGGTTCTCAACCTTCCTGATGCCGCGACCCTTTCATACAGTTCCTCATGTTGTGGTGACCCCCACCCATAAAATTATTTTCGTTTCTACTTCATCACTGTCATGTTGCTACAAGATGGCTTTGGAGGATTTCAGTGTCTTCAGAAATTCTACTTTGTTTTCTTTTACTAGGGCTTAAGGGGAGGGATCATGAATATTTACTTATAAAATAATTCATATCACACACAGAGAGAGAGAGACAGATATATCTGGCAAGACTTAGTTGTCACAGCTTGGAGAAGGATGCCACTGACATGTACTGGGTAGAAGCCAGGGTGCTGCCAAACATCCTACAGCGCACAGGCCAGCCCCCCACCGCAAGCACTGTCAGGCCCAAGTGCCAAGTGCAGTTGTTGAGCAGCCTGGCTATGTACAGGGATATGTACTTACAGCCTGTCAGTAACCATGCTGGCAGCCCTAGCCGGTGTGGCTCAGTGGATAGAGCATTGGCCGGCAGACTGAAGGGTCCCGGGTTTGATTCCCAGTCAGGGCACATGCCTGGGTTGTGGGCTCGATCCTCAGTGGGGGGCCTGCAGGAGGCAGTCGATCAATGGTTCTCTCTCATCATTAATGCTTCTCTCTCTCTCTCTCTCTCTCTCTCTCTCTCTCTCTCTCTCCCTCTCCCTTCCTCTCTGAAATCAATAACAATGTATTTTAAAAAATAACCAAGCTGGCAGGATGGTTTTCTTGGCTCATCTGTGACTCACAGAAAGGACACTGGCTTAGACATCTTAAAAATAGGATTTGAGGATTGTCCCCTCACTCCCTGCAACTGTGAGCTTGGTCAGTGCACCTCTGCAGTAAAAGGCTCCGTTTTGTTGACTAGAACCGTGGTCAGCAAACTGCGGCTCGCGAGCCACATGCGGCTCTTTGGCTCCTTGAGTGTGGCTCTTCCACAAAACACCACATGCAGGCGCGCACGGGCTCCTTGTGTGGCTCTTCCACAAAACACCACATGTGGGCGTGCACGTACAGTGCGATTGAAACTTCGTGGCCCATGCGCAGAAGTCGGTATTTGGTGGAAGAGCCACACTCAAGGGGCCAAAGAGCCACATGTGGCTCACGAGCCGCAGTTTGCCGGCCACTGGACTAGAAAGAGTAGCACAGAGACACTGACCCCACAGTTTTCACTGGATGGGGACTCCTACGGCCACTTTTATTCTTCAAGCTGGAGGTCTGAGAGTTCAGGAGAAGGAAGAGGTAGATGAGGGCAAGGGGCTGGGGGAACGCACATCTCACCAACTCCCGCCCTGCCCCCTGGGCTTCCTCGGCACATGCTGCCACCGCACCCACAGCCAGCTCCTTCCAGGAGGAAACCCCTGCCCCTGCTAGATCTTTCCATGTTCATCTAACACGGAGAGATCCTCAGCTCAATGAAGAACTAAAGCCCTTGGACAACTGATGGCAAATGAGTACTCATCACTGCCCGGATGGTTACTGCTTCTCCCGAGGGCAGACTCCTCCTGCCTCACCTTGCCTTGGTGGCTTGCAGGTGGAAACAAGGCCTGTTTTCTCCTCCCTGTTAACTCACAAGGTGGCCCAAGTGGGGCCTGAAGAGTCCGAAAGGGTGTCCCAAAATTCACTCAAGATTTGAATTTTGCGTGAGCATTAACAACAACAACAAATAAAAGCCCAATTTTACTTGGTTTATTGAATCAGATTCTAATATCTGTTGCCCTTTGATGTCAATCCCTTCGATTCGATAAGCATGACCAAGTACCAATGATGGCCCAGGAGGAGGGGACAAGGAAGACCAATGAAGACCACGGCTTTGCGTCTGTGCCAGCAAAGCCGTGGAGGCCATTTACCCGATGTGCTATTCCATCCATAACCCTAGACTGTATACTTTATGAATCAATAAAAAATTTACAATTTTAATTATAAACCCGTGTTTTCTATCGAAATTACTTCTTGCGTGAATTTTGGGACACCCTTTAGCTCCCCTTCGCAAGCACAGATGTTCTTTCAGTTCCTTTTAAAAAAAAAGAGAGAGAGAAACAAAGAAAAAAATGTTGTTGGCAAACCCAATTTGTAGTGGAGGGAATGATGACTCTACAAAGTTATGTGAAACCTACATTGGATGCACACCAGATAAGATATCAGGGAACAAGTATTATTTGTAGCTTTATTTTTAAACCCACTTAATTTGGCGTTCCTCTTTGTCCCTGCTTTTAAAGAGTCTACTAAATAAATAACCTTTCCCAAACAGACAACTTTATCAAACGCATCTGCTGGAAGTTCTATCCGCATTGCTCATTTCTGAAATTATGCACTTCACACTCAGGAAAAGATTCACTCCATCCAGATGCCCCAAAATGTTCATGCTACAGCTCCTATAGAAACCACACACACACAAACACACACACACACACACACACACAAAAAAAACCACCACCATCCTTATAGCAGATACACCTTCCCATTTTTATAGTTTTCTATCAAAATGGGAACTAATGTGTTTGGGATTTTTTGTGGTTTTTAAAAATATTTTTATGGATTTCAGAGAGGAAGGTAGAGGGAGAGATAGAAACATCAATGATGACAGAGAATCCTTGATCGGCTGCCTCCTGCATGCCCCACACTGGGGATCGAGCTCACAATCCACACATGTTCTCTGACCTGGGGAGCCTGCAACCCGGGCATGTGCCCTTGACTGGAATCAAACCCGGGACCCTTCAGTCTGCAGGCCGAAGCTCTAGCCCCTGAGCCAAACCAGCCAGGGCGGGAACTAATGTTGTATAAATATTTTCTTATGGAGAAGAAAAGGGATTGTGTGGCGGGATGGAAATGAACAGACGTGACCCAGGATTACTGAGGCGATTGTTTTGCGCAAATGATTCTAGACATTATTTACCAAGAGCCTCCAAATGCATGGAGTGCTATGATGGCAGCTTTGATTGGAGGGTGGCCACTTGGTTCTGTGCAAACTCCCAAACGGAGGTTCTAAGTAGGGTCAGATTCACTGTGTGAATTATTTACTCAGGAAAATAAATACAGTGGACCTTGCCCTGACCGGTGTGGCTCAGTGGGTAGAGTGTCGGCCCGCAGACTGAAGGGTCCTGGGTTCGATTCCGGTCAAGGGCATGTACCTTGGTTGTGGGCACATCCCCAGTGGGGGGTGTGCAGGAGGCAGCTGATCAATGTCTCTCTCTCATCGATGTTTCTAACTCTCTATCCCTCTCCCTTCCTCTCTGTAAAAAATCACTAAAATATATTTTTAAATACAATGGACCTAGAACCGAAAGAAATGATACCAAGCCCAATGAGACAACGGGTATAATGAAAATGGAAATATACCTGAGCTCACATTTCAGCTCTTTGCCACTTTAGGATGAGTATAGGGCAGTGATGGCGAACCTATGACACGCATGTCAGAGGTGACACGCGAACTCATTTTTTTGGTTGATTTTTCTTTGTTAAATGGCATTTAAATATATAAAAGAAATATCAAAAATATAAGTCTTTGTTTTACTATGGTTGCAAAGATCAAAAAATTTCTATACGTCACCAGAGTTAAGTTAGGGTTTTTCAAAATGCTGACAGGCCGAGCTCAAAAGCTTCGCCATCACTGGGATAGGGATTTGTTTACGGGTCTCTGTTGAAGAACTCCTCCCTCCATGAGACCGGTGTCTCCTGGGCGCAGGTAAATGATATTATAATATGTTCACCAGCTTCTGGGCTTCACCATAGAGAGGGGGGATAGGAGGTTGAGGGATTGGGAAATGACTGGGGTGATGGCCTAGCATGGACTGCAGGGATGGGCTCCAGCACACAAGTAGGGACTTTGACTTCCTCGCAAGCTGTAGTGATAGGTGCACATCAGTTATATGGTACCGATGCAAGTAAGTGAGAAGATGGGCGTATAATTTCACCCCAGATTGCCTCTCCGCTCTCGGTGAAGGTGTAGGCAATTTCACCTGCGAGGAGTGAGGATGGACAGGAGGTACTGGAGGCTTGAGGAAAGAGGAGAGGAAGGGAGGTGAACCAGTGGGCCAGCGATGTTGCAGGGTTGCAGGGCGGTCCAAAGGGCTCATTTGAGGTGAGTGTCTGGGAATTTAAATTGCAAAATGAGCATCCTGGCAACTAAACACTACCAAAGCCAAATACACCTTTTTGCAATTCGAATTCCCCAGACCTGGTTAATAAATCCCTATTAGAGTTGGGATTTTCTACTTGAGTTCAGTGATAGTAGAGAAGCGCCTGGCAGTGGCCCAATGATGGCCATGACCTTGTCCCTTGAACCTGTGAACATGTTACCTCACAGGCCAAAGGGAACTTTGCAGATGTGATCAGTTAAGGTCC